GATGCGGGGCTCGAACTCACGGACCGCGAGATCGTGACCTGGCTGAAGTCGGACGCTTAACCGACTGCGCCACCCAGGCGCCCCGAGAACAGTATTCTTTTTAAAAAAATTTTTTATTTATTTTTGAGAGAGACAGAAACAGGCTGCAAGCAGAGGGAGGGGCAGAGAGAGAGGGAGATGCAGAATCCGAAGCAGCCTCTAGGCTCCGAGCTGTCAGCACAGAGCCCAACGCGGGGTTCGAACCCACAAACCGTGAGATCATGACCTGAGCTGAAGTCGATTGCCTAACTGACTGAGCCACCCAGGCGCCCCTGAGAACAGTGTACTTGTAATTCAAAGGCACCTTTAAGACAAGTCCCCCAGCCGCCTCTTCTGATTGGGTTGCCAACCCTAAGCCCATAGAGAAATTTCTGGAACCAAGGCTGCAATCAGGCCTAAGGCCTCCTTCTCTTTTCAAATGATTCTAGAGTTTCCACTGCTCTGGGGTTGGCCACTGTTTTCGTTATCTATCACTGTGTAACAAGTGGCCCTGAAACTTAGTGGCCTCAAATGATCTTGCGGTCTCTGTGGGCCATGGACTTGGGAGCGGCTTAGCTGGTGTGGCTCTGGGCCAAGGTCTCTCATGTGGCTGTAATCAGGATGTCTGCTGGGGCTGCAGTGATCCGGAAGCTTGACTGGGGCTCGAGGAGCTGTCTCCCTGGTGCTGTGCTCACATGACTGTGGGTGGGAGGCCACAATTTCTCACCTGCTGTTGGTAGGAGGTCTTAGTTTCTGGCCACGTAAGCGTCTCTGTGTGCTGCTGTGTGTTCTCACGACATGGCAGTTAACTCCTCCCAGAACGAGTACTTTAAGACAGAATGGGCAAGGAGAAGGCCACTGTGCCTTTATGACTTAGTCTCTGGGCCGTGCCACTTTTGCTTTATTCTGTGCATTAGAAGCAAATGGCTAAGCCCAGCCATACTCAAGGCGTGGGGATTTAGGCTCCATCCGATTCCACAGCCACTAATGGGTGATAAGGTTTGGATTTAGGGTTGTGGGCAGGAATTATGCCCCAGGCACACCAGACGCTGACCCAGCTAATAATAAGGGGCTTTTTGTTGTTGTTGTTATTCCTTGCGTGTGTAACTCAAAGAGGAGGGATAATTAGCAGAACAAAATACAGGCATTCCTGGATCCTCCAGTCAAATACCACTAACTACACTAAATCAGAACTTCATTGGGGCGCCTGGGTGAATCAGTCGGTTAAATGTCCGACCTCGGCTCAGGTCATGATCTCACGGTTTGTGAGTTCGAGCCCCACGTCGGGCTCTGTGCTGACAGCTCAGAGCCTGGAGCCTGCTTCGGATTCTGCATCTCCCTCTCTCTCTCTGCCCCTTTCCTGCTCGCGCTCTCTCAAAAATAAATAAGTGTTAAAAAAAAAAAAAAAAGAACTTCATTTAGAATTCTAATAATGACTAACCTTGCCTGGGTGAGGTGGATGGAGAGAATGAGGGGGGGCAGGCTTTACATGAGAGAGAACACGTTTACATTGGGTTTTGAAGGATGAATAGGAGTTCACGAGGAAGACGATTTGTGAGAAAAGTGGAACAGAGCAGAACAAAAGCAGGTCAGGGAGTCAGAATGAAAGAGGTTCGAATCCTGGCTCAGTTGCTGGTTGTGTGAGCTTCAGCAAGGCAGGTCCACTCTTTCCGTTTTTTGTTTTGTACCTATAAATGAGGGAGAACAAAGCAAATAATGCTCCAGGGTTATTGGAAGGGCTGGTGATAGTGCATGTGAGGTGCGTGGCAGACCACAGGTATGCAATAAATGGTAAGCAAAAATTCGCTTCGAAAGGTCTGAGACCTGAAAGGGCCTGCGGTGTTCAGAGCATGCAGGGGAAATTCTGCAGGCTCAGTGACGTTCATAGGATTTTAGTTGTTTTCTCTCTCTTGCTCCAGCCCAGCCCAGTTCACTGCACTCATTGACTCGACCAGCCAATAATGATTAATTATAAATGGGAGAATCTGGGTCCCAGCCAGGCTCAGTCCTGAGGCTGTACTGGGAGAGCAGGCGAGGGGCCAGGGCCCGTGGAGTCCCCCCTGCCACCGTTTCCAGGTCAGTTCCTTGGGCAGTGGGCTTTAAGCAGATGGAGACATAGATGAATGTTGTCTGAGGGGTCTTCCTACCGGTCCCCAGTCGCCTGCTCTGCTGCCTCTGGGGACATTAGCATTCCGCAGGCAGCTGTTTAGGTGTAAGATCAATGCATTACATGTGTCGCCGGAAGGACCAGTAAACAAAGGGCGAGGTAGGTAAGTTGGAGGAGAAATTGGCAGGGTCCGCTGGGCGGCTCAATGCAACTCCGTGGTGTGGCCAGGGGGTTGTGGGGAGCGGCCACGACTTGGGCTTTTCATGCTAGCTGGTTCTAGGCCTTGGGGGGGGGCACAAAGCAGAAAGAGCCGGAAGTTCTGTTGCTCCAGCTTCATGCTACTCATGCAACTTTTTTGGGTCCTGTCTCATCACTATCTGAAGCCTCCATCGGACTTCCCCGTACTGGGTCTCTGACTGCGGGACAAAGCAGGAAGCTCATCAGAAAGGGGGCTGGAGACCTGAGCTGGGATCGCAGCTCTCCTTGGGTGACCTCAGGTGCATCACTTCACCTCTCTGTGCCTCAGTTTCCTCATCTGTGAAATGGGGGTCCCAGGCTGCCAGGGGTGGGCCAGCTCGGATGGCCTAACGGCTGTGGATGAGCCGTGGCCACTGTGTGGGGACAGGACATCAAAGGGAGGGTGGGAGTCTCCATCCTCCCTAGAATCCTTGGGAGGGTTTAAATCCTCTTTGGCGTGATGGGCCCTTTCCCATCAGGGCAGGATCTGGAGTCTTTGGCGTCTCCCCGTCAAGCCCTTGTTGCTTCAAGCCCTGTGACCGCACAAGTTGTCAAAGTGTGGTCCTCGGGCCGGCAGCACGAGCGGCATCACCAGGGAGGGTGTTAGAAATGGAAGTTCTCGGGCTCCATTCCAGACTTGGTGAATCAAACTCAGGGGGTGGCCCAACCCTCTGGGTGATTCCGATGTCGGGGACATTGGAGGACCAGTGTTCCTAGGCACTATCCCCTCCACAGGGTGCCCCCTCCCACTCACTCCCCCCCCCCTCCATCCCAGCTGGAGGCCCCGTGGAGGGAGGGAGGCTGGCAAGACCGACAGGGAGTCTCTGCTACAGAGAGAACCCTGGAGGGGACGTCTCTCCCCTCTGCCTGTAGCTCATGATATCCCGGAACCTCACCAGTGGGGCTGATGCCAGGGTATTTGAATAGCTCATTAGCTCTGCTCTGGGCTTCGATCCCTCTTAATTAGTTTTGCAAAAGATATTCATTAAAAAAACCTCATTACAAGTCAAGCACAGGTCCTCGCTAAGTTTGCGGGCGTGGGTATACGGGGGTGCGTCTTTGTCCTTCGAGTGCCTGTGAGCCAGCGGGCTGGTGCATTCAGGTGTCAGTGAACGTGGAGGTGTGGGAGTGTCCGGGCAGTGGAGAAGTACCTTTGCCGGGGTGTTGCATCGGTGTGTCGGTGCTCACACATCCATTTCTCCTCCAGGGGTCCCCCGCGAAGCAGATTATTCCTCCCCTCTTTATAAGTCATTATTCCTACTGGGCCCACGTTGCAGGGAAACATGCACACATGTTTCCAAGCCACATCTATCCTGGTTGTTTTGCTTTCTTTGCGCCCCCGGTTCTGGGTTCCAGGCACGACGATGGCCGATGAAAGACCTGTTCCGGCCAGCTGAGCAGCCAGGGGGAGACAACAGTCCAATGTGAGAATTTGAAGAGGCTGCTGGATGCCCTCTCCCACCCGTGTGCTGTGTCCTGATGCCTGAAGCCACAGCCTAGGTGGCTGCTCCTTGGGATTGTAGCCCCTCAGGTTTCCCGCCCCAGAAGGCTCAGCCAGCGACAGGGCTGCCTGTGGGGTTGGGAGAGAAGGCCAGCTTTGGGGTGAGGGACTGGGGCGTGTCCTGAGATGCTTAGGCCGAGTCTGGGGGGCACTCTCCCGCCCCCCTCCCACCCTGTCCCTATTTCCCTACTGCATTCCTTGCTGTGAGCATCCCCATTTGGAGCCAAGTAAATTTATGGCATAATCCTGCATGGAAATGCACGGAAATGCTGCCAATTACCATCAAGCCGAGAGAGGCTGCATCCCTGACGCCCGCCTCGCTCGGTCTGCTGTCTGTCGGCTCTCAGCCTTCCAGAAACCACAGGGAGCTAGAAGCCAGCCAGGACGGCCCAGATTGGCGGAGTGGGGCCATTTGTATAAAACTCTTTATTCCACTCACCTGGCCTTGAAGGTTTGTGGCAGGAGTGGCTCCTTCGCATCAAACCTGAGCAAACCGGGGAGATGTCATTGCCTGAGTCTCAGCAAAGCCGACAGCTGATGGGATTTCTCTAACTGAGATCAGTTCATCAAACTTGGGTAGAGCTGAGCCACTGGAAGACGGGGAGATCTGATATAATCGCGTCTGCTTAAAATGCAAAGGCTCATCGAGATTTTTGGAAGCACTGTAAGGAGAGTCTCAGTGAAGCCAGGAGGAGCGTTTAGCAGGCTCTGAGATGGAGCTGGGAGAGGAAAGCGAGCAAGGACCTGCTCTGGGCGGGGGTGGGGGTGGGAGTGGGGGAGGGCGGCAGGGGAGGGTGGAGCCCCCTGTCTCTGCTTGGCCTCTTGCTGCACCGAGACCAACAAAGGAGTAATGACGCCTACTGTGTGCAGCACACCCAAGACCAGCCTCCCGGGACTGGGGTGGAGGCGTCGTGAGCCACAGCCCTGCTCTTGAAAACCTCATAGTTTAATGGAGGAGGCAGACAGAGAGGAGGCAGCCTGGGACCTGTTCCTGAGTAGGGTCTTTTGCCAGAGGCTCAAGGAGCTGATAAGAGAACAAGGCGGGAGACCATCACTGTAAAGCACTCAGGTCCTGGAGTCAGTTGGGGCCGGGTTCGAACTCCTGTCTCATGACCTGTTCACCCGCGGTGTGTCCTTGGGTGTTGCATCCTCTAACCCCTCTGAGCCTCACTCTCTTCATCTGCGGAATGGCTGTAACAATTCCTACTTCTCAGGCAATCGTGAGGATTGCCGAGATCCCGTGTATAAAATGCTTAGCGTCGGGCTTGGTGTTGTAGTAAGTGCCCCGCAGTGGAGCTGGCATCCGACTGGGAGGACCTGGGAAGGCTTCTGGGAGGAGGTGGGGACACCAGTGAGGACTTGAGGGATGGGAAGGACTTCAGCTGGTGGAAGGGGCAAGGGAGTGGCCCATATTTGTGAGGAGAGAGATAGCTGGCTCTCTGCTCGCTGCTGTCTCCCCTGTCCCCCCAGCTCTCCTAGAGACAGGGGGGAGGTCTGGGCCAGGAGTGGTGGGGGCTTGTCTCAGTACAGCAGCTTCCCTATCCCCCCGCCCTCACTGCATCAGGGCCCCCGTCTAGCCCTCCCCTCGCTCATCTTGCTCCCCCTCCCCAGTGAGTATTTAGCAGTCCTCCTGAGATGTGCTTAGCGGGGACCAATTTCCTGCCATCAGTCAGGACTGGTGGCGTTTGTAGGACAGTGTGGAGGCCTGGGAGCGGGGAGGTGGGGGGGAGGAGGGAACACGTGGTGGCTTCCTTCTGGGACCGAGTGCTTGGGGCCACCCTCCCCTGGCTGCCATCTGTCCTTCAGGTCTGTCTGCTCCCCACCCCTCTGGCTGGGGTTCCACTATGGTAAGGATGGAGGAGGAAGAGGAGTCTGGTTTGGGGGGTGGGGGGGGGGGAGGGGAGGGAGGTGCCAGGACTGGGCTGGCTTTGGGCCTGCAGCTGGCCACTGCTGACAGCCTCCTCTAGGAAGCTTACCTGGATGCAGCCAGGCCTTCTCTCTGGGTCAGCAGGAGTCATACCTGGGTCTGCACTGCCCCCTCAATTCCCTGTTTCCTTAGCTAGACACAGAGCTACGATTTATTGAACACTATTATATGCCAGGCCCTGGGCCAAGTGCTTGATGTATATTAGCTCATTTAATTCTTTATCAACCTGGGGAGACAGTCATGGTCAAAATTACCCCAATTTTTTAAGGAAATGGGTTCTGAGAGGCTGGATCATTGCATAAGGTCTTTTTTCAAATGTCCCCTCCTCAGAGAATCCTTCCCTGACCACCTATTTTATTCGGTTCCTCCCCCACCTCCACCTCTGGTCTTTTCTATTTTATCATTTGATTTTCTCCTTGTTCGTGGCTTGCAGCCCCCACCGCTGGCGAACACCAGCAGAACCTGTCTGCCTCGGTCCCCTGTGTGTCTCCACGTGGAGAGGAGCACCTACAACTGTGCATTGAGTGATGACTGTTGACCCATGAAAGAATGGATGAATGAATGAATGAATGAATGCCCCATGGCTAATAACAGCAGAGTCAGGATTCCAACCAAGAACCAGGTGCAAAACACACTCCCTGCTGGCAGCTGCCGCACCAATGCCTCCTGTCACTGTCCAAGCAGCTTGTGGAGGGAGGGGTCATCACCCGGAGTAGACGTCTTGGGTCTGGAGTCCCAGCAGACCACGCTCAGCATGATTGCTGCTCCGGCATGAACGGCATTAAGTCAAAGATGCTAACATTCGGCCCCCAGCCCCTGTTGTAGTTAGAGGATAGAGAAATCAGTTTTGAGTTGCTGGGGCAGAGACAGGTAGCTGGGTGGCTGGGGGAGGAGGGACGACTTTCTTTGCATTTATGGACTGGGCTTCTCACCTCTTCCGGGCCAGAGGAGGCAGACATGGCTGGATCTGCTCTCTAAACGGAGCCCAGCTAGGGTGGCGGGGGGCCCCTGCAGGGCTGGGCGCTGCTCCCTGTGCTCAGACCTGTATTAGGATTTGGGGCAGTCTATTTGTCTGGGAATGACAGGGACGGGGAGAAGGGCTTGCGGAGATGAGTGGCAGGAGAGATAAGCCTGATGTGTGACTTTCTGATGCTTGGTTGGTTTGAAAATAAGTCCTGGGCCCAGATATAGGATTGACAGGGGGATCAGAGAGGGCCGTTTGCTTTCTGCCTTCTGACTTTGAAAAGGGCCCAAGAGTCAGGAGCCTGGGTCCTAATGCTGGAGGGGGGAGGGGCTGTGCCACAGGTCACCTTGGCCAGGCTACAGGGGAAGGTCCGGTGCCCAAGGCCGGTGCGTTCTGGAATCAGCCCCAGGGACTCGAAGTTTCTGGGATTTTGCCTTTGCTCCTGTTGTGGGAAGAAGGCTGAGTGCTTGGAGCTCACAGACACAAGGGCCGTGAAGTCACTGGCCATCTTCTCCGTGCATTTCCAGACCTACTCTCGGCCCTCTTCCCCTGCCTTGTGCTGCAGAGGGCTTCTCAGTGTAGACGTGTGAACAGGCTCCTTTGTCCTTGGGCTGGGTGGCTGGGTCAGTGGACAGTGTTTGGGGGTAGGCTAAACCCTCTATGAGGCCACAGCTCCGGCCACGCGGCCCTGTCCCTACAAGTGTGGCTGCGGTTCCTACACCACCGCTTACTGATTTCCCTACATCCTGCCCCACCTCTGTATACAGCCTCTTCACTAATTTTTATTTATTTTTTAAAATGTTTATTTATTTTGAGAGAGAGAGAGAGAGAACGGGAGTGCTAGCTGGGGAGGGGCAGAGAGAGAGAGGGAGAGAGAGAGAGTCCCAAGCAGGCTCTGTGCTGTCAGCACAGAGCCTGACACGGGGCTCCAACTCACGAACCATGAGATCTTGACCTGGGCTGGAATGAAGAGTTGGACGCTTAACCGACGGAGCCACCCAGGGACCCCTAACTTTTGTTTAATTTAACTGTGACATCTCTTTCCTGCTGGGGTCCTGACTGATATATCCTGACCACAAAAAGGATCTTATCTCTCGTTTCAATAGCGTTCAGAAGAAACAGACCCCGGGACACCACCTCTTCTAGCCTCTGACTGCCTTCCAACTTCCTCTGCGGTCATCTCCTCTGGGACCATCTTCCTGGCCATGCTTTGCTTCCAGAACTGGTCAACACCTTTTTCTGTGGTTAGCTCCCTATTGCCGACCAACTGTGAGCTCCCAGATTCATTAGAATTATTCACAGCCTGTTCATCCTGCATCTGTGGGCTCTCCTACACCCACCTCTCACGGGGCTTCTATTTCGACCAAGATGATGTGGCTCTGAAGGGTGTGGACTCCTTCTGTAAACTGGCGGGGGAGAAGTGTGAGGGTGCCAGGCATCTCCTGACAATGCAAAACCAGCACCGGCAGCCGTGCCCTCTTCCAGGATGTGGGGAAGCCATCCAAGATGAGTAGGGCACAACTCGGGACACTGTGGAAGGCACTTCGGCCCTGGAGGAGACCCTGAACCCAGTCTCTTTGTTTGGGATCGCATGCCCTGGTTCTGCCCACACAGACCCCCATCTCTATGACTCCCTAGAGAGCTGTTCCTGGATGAGGAGGCGAAACTCACCAAGAAGGTGGGTGACCACCTGGCTAACCTCAGGCTGGGCTGGGCGAGTGTCTCAATGAAAGCTTAGTCTCAAGCATGACTAGGAGGCTGGCATCCTTTGAGGGGGGCCCTCTGTATATTCTGGGTGTTTGGGCTTCTGCCCGAGCCTCTCCTCCAGCACTAGGCAGCTTTCATACTCATCCTGGACCCTCTCCCAAGCTGTGGACCAAAGGGAAATCATAAAGCTTTTTGCAAAACAGCCACAACAAAAAGGGGCTCCCATGGATGTTCCCCAAGGTGGCTGTCAGTGTGGGAATAATGGAAAGGTGCTTGTTGTCTGGGTTTCCCAAGGCTCTTTCCTGCCTATGCAAGTTGGGCCAACCTAGGGGCAGAGAGAAAGCTACGCTCCTCGGGATCAAAGGACGTGAGTGGCAGATTCTGCTCTGCCTTCCCCTCCTCGCTTCTCAGGACCTCAGGTTTCTCATCTGTAAAGTGAGTGTGATGATAACTGTGTGGCCAGCAGGTGCCAGTTACTATATTAAGGGCTGTATGTACAGGATATCGTTAGTTTTCCTCCGAAGCCCTATGAGGTGGCTTCTCTTAGCATCCCTGTTTGGTAGATGGGAAAACTGAGCCTCAGAGAGGTGAAGTGCCTTGCTCAAGGTCAAAGTCTGAACATGGTAGCCTGCAGTTCAAACCCAGATCTCTGTGTGCTCTCAATCCCAGAGTCCTCTCTGCCCCCCGTGCCCCCCCACCCCTGCCACCTTCTTGGGGGGTTTGAGACCCAGTCCTGCAGCAAGACCTTGGAATTGGCAAAGGGCAGTTTTCATGATGCCTGCTACTCAGCATGGGGACAGGCCTGGGTGGTGGGGCTGACTCTCCTTCCCTTCCCTGTCACTCCCAAGAGAGTTGGGCACAACTCGCTTCTGGAGAATGTCACAGCACCACCCCCCACCCCATTTCTCACCTGGGCAGAGATACTGTTTTTCCTTGCTTTGCACGGCGAGAGATTGATGACACTGACGGCCCCAAGTAATCACCTACTTGCATCCACACTGGTGTCCTGCAACTTTTTAGCACCTTCCTACCGTGGCTGTGGACTTGGCCGTGCCATTGACTTTGATCGATGAGACAGTAGCCAACTTGGGGCGAGTGGTAGTTGGAAAAAGTGTTCTCT